GTGGGCCGTTCCATGAGGCGGGAGGGGGTTCTCTCTGGGCCGTTCCATAGGAGAGAAAGAGAGGGGCAGTTCCATACCTTAACGCAGCGTTTCGCAACCCATGGGTTGCAAGAATTTATGGAAGGGTTATAAGCAAACTTTAAAAATGGATTCTCCTTTAAAGGAGAAAAACGGGGGAAACCGTAGCTTTTATTTTGCATGCTGGCAGAGTTCCAGCCTGCAAGGGGCTGCTGGGTGGGGCGCAGCAGGTCAGGAGTGAGGGGCACTGGGTCGGGACTGGCCATCGATGTTTACAGATGGGTCCTGGTACAAAAAGGGTTGAGAACCGCTGCTCTAAGGGATTTAGAACGAGTAAGGAATATAAGGAGGAGCCCTTCTAGGAGTGTGATTTAGGATAACATGACTACTAACAAGATTAGCTGTAAGGGAATAACCTATATATATTGTAAGTAGGACAGTTGATGGGGGTGGTCCTCTTATAAAAGGCAGAAGGGTGGAGTGAATACTAAGGAGAAGCGGGTTTGCTTTGTATGTTTGGTTAATGCTGATGTTCAGTCTGAAGAACAAAACTCTGTGTGGGAGCATTGGGACACAGTCTTGTAAGCTGTGACAAATGAGCAGGTGGATCTTTTAATACTTGAATAGCGTCCCCATTTTCATGTCACTTGAATGTAGTTGTATGGCTATGGTGTCTTCCAGACATCACTTATTTTTTCAGGCGTTTGATATTCGGATGAGGCTTGGCTCAGAAGATTACAGTGCAGATACCTTGTCAGGAGAATGCAGCACAGTTTTGCCAGATTCAAAATGGGAGGAAGCCTTTATTTAAGGTTTGCTTAGTTAATTGAGGACTGGACTAATGATTTGCAGGATGCCACCCCACACACACATACGTGTTTGCTTAGAGCCCTTTCCAGAGGAGAATGTTTCACCGGGCAGCATCTAGTACACTCGAATTGTTAAGCATGCATAAGCTGAGAGCCATGCAAATGTAGCAAACCACTCCAACTTTAACATTTCCTCATCCAGGGTTTACCCTGTAAATCCTAACACAGAGGCTCCTATGAGACCTTGAATACTCCTGCTCGGACAATTAATTTTCCCCTTCTCCAGGACAGTTACCAAGAGAATTGCTCCTTACTCTTGACCTGCTGTTTGTGGGGGTCTGATCTGATTTAAAGCTAGCATTGATGCAGAACCAGTGGGGCTCTAATACATGTTTAATGCCATGCGCCTGAAGCCAATCTGTCAATTGGTGAAGTAAGCTAGACTTACAAAATTGGATGGTGGTGGAAAAAAGGAAGCAAGGGAAGAAGGTAGTGTTAAAATGATATTGCAGCTGTGAGAATGGGCAAAGCAAGGATTTCTTTGGGCGATATCTTTTATTAGACCAACTGCATAGTTGGGATAGAGGCAGGCAAGTTTCTTTGGGTAGGTGTGATATCTTTTATTAGACCAACTGAGAAGTTAGGGGAAGTTCTTTGCAAGCTTTCTGGCACAGTCGCCCTTCTTCAGGCATAGGGAGTCTCTGCTGTTGGGATAGAGTTAGACAAACTTTTTAATGCAAGCATTCCTCTTCAAGTCTGAGGAAAAAAGCAAGCACGGCAATAGTTTAAAAAAATAAAATAGAGCTGTGAAACATTGGGGGGGAGAAATTCCCAGGGGTAGCTAACAAACAACAGAAGCAAAGAAGCTAATTACTGGGAAATCAAGGCCTTTCAAAAGGGAGGAGGGTCATTATCACCTTTACTGTGTGGGAAAAATTCAGGAAGCACATGCCATAAAAAAAAGCAATATTAGGGTCTTTGGTTCATCTTGTCCAGCCAGCTTATGGTTTTTTAGTTCCCAAGTTCATATTTTAAAAGTGCTGGGTAGATTTACCTCGAGCACAAGGATAGTGAGGTCAGAGAGGGAAAGGTTGCTCTATGAGGAACGTGCTCCTAATGGTGTTTGTTTGTCTCTGTCCTTTATATTTTTTCTGTGAGAATTCATTCTCTTTCTACAAACAGTGTAGTTGCTGTTTAGTTTCACCCATGTACTGTAGTTGTCATGGGGCATTGGATCAGGTATATCACATTTTGGATAAGGCATGTGTAGGATCCATGGATTCTGATGAGTTTGGTGTGGGGGGGGTGTTGATTGCAGTGACAGAGGAGCTGTGTTGACAGGTTAAGCATTTATTGCTAGAGGAAGGCTGTGTCCCATTTGATGTTTATTGAGCAGTAGGGAGTTTGTTTCTGATTATGGGTTGGGCAAGATTAGGAGGGAGTTGTTTGAAAGCCAGGAGTAGAAAGGCTGAAAACATTTCTTTCAAGGTCTGAGCTTTGTCAAGTATAGGCTGTAGGTGTTTGACACTTATTTCTGATCGGTTCCAACATGGGATGGTAGACAAACACCAGGGATGTGCGGTCATAGGCAGGGTTCTTTTTGTACTGTAGCAGATTACTGCAGGGTGGCTCCTTTAAAAGTATGACCTATTTCTCTACTGGAATGTCTTTTTTGTATAAAGGAAGAATTTAGGCTAGCCAGGTGGGCGTTACAAGTGTTCTCCTCGGAGCAGACACAGTGGTATTTGAGGGCCTGACTGTAGATTACGGCTTTTTTTGGTGTGCTTGGGGTGATTGCAGGTCTCGTGGTCATAAATATGGTGGTCTTTGGGTTTCTGTAGTGCATCATCCAAACAAACTGAGGCTTAACTATCCTTTGCAAAAAGCTGTTCAAGTTGTTGATGAAAATAGACAGCTACAGACTAAAACGCACAGTTCTGTCATGGTTTAAAAACTCCCAAATAAAAGCAAATAGCATGCTTAAATAAGTAAATAAATACATGATTAATAGGAAGCATCTGTGGTTCCAGATTGGAGTGGATGTTTAAGTTCTTGATGCCCTAAGAAAGGCATGCATTGAAAGGTGTCAGAAGCTACAGATGAGACAAATTGGGATGCCATTCTTATCGGACGCTACTCTAGCTTAACTGGACTAGGGCCTAGCAATGATAAATGCATGAGCAGCATGATGACAAGCACAACTTTATGTTGATGAGTACAAGGTAGCGTGCATTGGAGCAATCTATTTTAAAAATTCACACACTGCTGGATTCTAAGGGTGTCTAAACACATGTTCTGGAGTGGAGGGGGGCACACTTTAATTAGAGTGGCTTTCAGAACAACTCACAGCAGAATCTCAGAGCCATTCTAATTTAAGCACCTGCAGCATTACATGCATTCAGTGTCCCACACTTCAAAATGGTGTCAGGGATGCTTTAACTAATGCTCTATGTCATCTGCAGGAGCATGGCATTTAGCCCGAATCCTTAATAAATTGAATTGAATGAACTAAAGCTTGTTTGATAAGCTTTAGTTAAAGCGCCTGCACCGCCATTTTGAAATGCAGGGACACTGAATACACGTGATGCGGAGGCTGCTGGAGCTAGCTATTTAGCATGCTCCAGCAGACTCGCAGCGGATTTGATTAATCAAGTCGGCTCTGATGCATGCTAATTAGTATGCATCAGATCAAAGGTCCGTCACATGTATAGGTGCCTTAAAATAACAGCTCATCAAGAAGAAACCCTGAGTGACTGAAGGCTCTCAGTCCTGCTGGTGTCGCACAAAATATTATAGAAGGTGAACTAATAATCTGGTCTGGTATAAGGTTTCCTTCATATTTGACGCATTCCTTGAAATAGATGCTGTTGGCTTGTCTCAAACGCATCTAGCAGTAAAACAGAGTTGGATTTTTCTAAATTGGCTTTTACTGAAAATGAAACTTCCAATGTTAGGACTCACTGATCTTACATGTTATCAGTGAAAATGTTTCCATTGCTTTTTTCTGTTGTTTTGATTTGAACTTCTCCAGCTGTTTGCATTCCTATCATTAGCATCTCACCAAGAAAATGAAAAGTAGGAAGTGAAATCAACTTACAAATTGCCTGAAAATCAGTGTTACTAGTCTATTTTTATTGCCCATCCTAGGTGAAATGAGAGGTAAACAAATTGCAGGAAAGAGATTTGTATGCTAAATTTAACATGGTTAACTTGTTCAATGTAAGTGTAAAAATCAAGAACACTTTTGCAAAAATATCATTTTTATTTTATCCTGTGGTACAGTTATGTCATTAGCCAACAGTATCTGGAGTTTCAAAACTTCAACAGCAAGACAAATGGAGGATACACTCACTTGAACAAATTATAAGCATCCCTTTCTGTTATGCCCCAAACTGCCTATTTTTACCAGTTATTTTAGAAGTTTTTAAATATATCTAGTGTTTAAAAACTAAAAATACAATACCAGTGTCTTCTTTTAGTGTTCCAGTCATCTGAGTAAAACACAAAGTTGAACTTCTTAATTTTGTACTATGCTTTTCCTTTGTGCAGGAATGTCAATTGGGAATAGTTTTGTTTTTGCCAACTCTGTGTGTGTGCATAAATAAATACATACATAGAAATAAGTTTCAGAGAACTCAGTAGCTTGCCAGTTTTGGCTCTGAATAAATCTGCATTATAGCATAATTACATCACCTCAGACTAGGATAAATGTGTCTTTTTGCTTAGACGAAAAAATATTCCTTCCAGACCGGAAACCTCTGCTCCCTTGCCCCTGCCCCATTTGCTTATTAGAGTTCTTCAGACACATTAATAAAAAGAATGCTATTTGCCTACTACTTCACAAAAATGTTTCATAAACATAGACATGTGTTTTAATAAATATTTCTGTCTCTCCAATTGCTTATCTAAATAGACTGCTTGTTATTTTTAATTTATAATGTGGCATCATACCCATCTCAAGATTGAGTCTGAATGATGTCCATTACTTTTATTGGTCCCTCTGCGCTGTGAGCACATCCTTTTATTGTATCTTACCTTGTGCCTCTTCCCAACATACCTCATTCACAAGAGTCACTATCTGCTTCTTGGATGGTATACTTGCTTGTCATTAAGCTAGGGCCAGTGCTGCCTTCTAATTATATAATCTCCTCTGACCCATGAGGGGGCCATAAGCAGCTTTTCTTAGCAAAGCAGGTGAATCCTTTGGGAATGCAGTTATGTTCTAAAATATACTTTAAAAAAACCTACGTGTGTTTACACTGAATGGCTGTTACAGTTTTTCATCCTTATTTTTAGTGAGCATTAGTGGAGGACCCGTTCTTCTCCCAGGTCATTTTTTTTGTAAGCATTTGTTTATTTTCAAAGAACCTGGTAAAACATATTTAGGTCAAAATAATGTTCATTTTTAAAGAATATAGTACAACATATTTAACATTTAATATTTAACGTGGAGTGACATTTCAAATGACATCCAAATGAATGATCTTAATTGTAGAACCTCTTTGTAAACAATGTTTGCAGTGTTTCCTGTTGGCACCAGTATATACAACCCTCTTTGACTACTAACTCTGGAGCAAGGCACATGTAACTGTCCGTGTGAAAAGTATTGTTCTGTTAAATAGTCACTGGAAGTCCCAAAAAGGGTCAAGTGAAAAATAACCACCTATAATTTTCCTTGGGTGATATCCAGTGATTTTGGAAAGTTTAGAGTAGATAGGACCAGCCATTCTCAAGTTATAAGCAAACATACATACACCTAGACATACATTTCATTTTATTTATATATATATATATATATATATATA